CGCCCCATGAGGTGCCGCCTCTCCGCGTGGCCATCGGGGAGGTGTCCCGGCAGGGCTGGCCGGCGCTGCGGCGGCAGGGGCTCGGCTGAGAGCTGGTGCTGCCGCTCTGGCTCCTTTCATGTCAGAGTTATAATTTCATGGTCAGGGTCTAGGAGGTTTGTACACACAGATGCATTAGTTCTGCATTTAGTGATACTTGAATAATTGGTGTCACATCAATTAGATCGGTTCTTGGATACTGCAGTGATAAGTGCTGTGCAAAAGCCTCTGGGCTGCAGGATGTGAGGAACTCTGATGGCTGGTGGGGCTGGAGACAGCGAGCAGAGTTGGGCTGGCGGGGATGTTGAGCGCTGAGAGAGCGGCAGGGGAACATGACGCATTTGTCCTTTGCAGGAAAGTGGCGAGACCTGGGGGTCTTGAGGTGGTCGGTGCTTGGGGCTGCTGTGCTGGGGGGACGCTGCCCTGGCTGTGCGGTATGGGGGTGCTGATGTGCACTCAGGGAGGTGCTGCCAATCTTGCAGCTCCTCAATGCCCCAGTTGTCCCATCATGGTGCTCCTCTGTGTCAAGCCACTTGCTGGGTACCTAGTTCAGCATCGTCTGCTGCTTCCCTCATCCCTTTGGGCTGCCGCTGCAGCCTGTGACATGGATTTGCACGCACAGTGGATTTCCCAGCGCAGCGTTGTCCACCCTGCCAGCTAACAGGGAGAAGGCTCAGGTGGGTCTGGGGCAGCGTGGAGAGCCCCAGGGCTCACGTGCCTGCAATACAGATCAGCGCTGTCAGTCCTATCCCCGCTGCGGATTGTAGGCAGAGGTAATTTGCAGATGACAAATATCCCCGACAGTAAATATTTTTCCCACCCTCATCTTTCTACAAGCAGATAAGGTGGCAGCGCTGTGGCAATACGGTTGCTGGAGGGAGACAAACTCTTTGGCAGTCTTAAAAGTCTATTGTGTCCCTGCAATTATTTATAGATAAACAGAAGAAAGCCAATAAGCACAGAATGGAGCTGCACAGCTGCATTTGTTATGATGATGATGATGTTATCTCTCCCTCACACCCACACACACATCACCAGTGCATGGAATCTCACTGCTGGCAACAATCAAATCCCCATCCCGTATGAGGCAGGACCGGCTGGAGGTTTTGCCCTCTCCTTGCTGTCTGTTTTCCCCCACACTAACCCAACCGCACAACTTCTCCAGCAGTTTCTCATCCCCTGACCGAGCCAGGGAGTCACAGCACCCGGAGTGCTGCAGGATCCCGGGGTGCCCACGCAGCAAAGTGGTCCCTCCTTGAGGCATGCTGGGGCTGCTCTCTCTCTGTTCCTGGCAGCAGCAAGATGTGGAGACGGGGTGGCCTTTGTCCTGGTAAGCCAGCCCCCAGGGTGCTGGGTGCCTGGCGACGATAGGGCTCCCAGTGTTGCTTGCAGGGAGTGAGGGACTGGCTGGGTCCTCACCAGCTCCTGTAGCGGGTGCTTCCCACTGCAGGGAAGGGTGCGGGGGACAGCCTGTCTGCTTCCCCCACCCTGCGTGGCCAGGACCTGCTCTCCCATCCCACACCACTGCCAAGGACAGAAACGGGTGTGTTTGGAGGAAACTGCGAGGGATCTGGGATTAAACGATGTGACAAGGAAGAGTGATGGACGTCACTGCTAATGAGCACACTTCTCCAGCCCGTGGACTGGAGACGCTGGGGAGTGCGAAACGCTGACTCTGGCATGGGCAGGGGTCAGGAAGCACTGTGCTCTCTCCATACGGTGAGTGCTTGGAGCGGTCTCTGAGCTCTGCGGGAGCCTGCAGAGAGGGGCTGGGGACCTGACAGGGCTGGACCCACCAAAGGGGAGGGCAGGGAAGTTGCAGGCACAAGGTCTGGGGTGCCTCTGTGCCGGGCGCTGGGGTCCCCAGGTGAGCTGTCATTGATGTGGCATTGGGGTCCTCAACCAGCCCGAGTCTCCCTGTGTCCTGGGGTGCTGCACGGCATCACCTGGCTCCCACTGGGGCAGGAGCCCCACAGCTCCCCAGGGCACATGCAGTCACTCCCTCCCCCTCCCCCCCGGGATGTGCATCCCTGCCGAGTGCTCAGCCTTGTCTCTGTAGGACCTCTGCCTGGGAAAAGCACCAGGATGAGCTCTCCAGCTGCGGACAGCATCCAAGGCAGCCACTGGGAGCCCTTAACTGGACAGGAGAGTGGGATGATTTTTCATTGCTTCCTCATAATAAGAGGACAGGAGTAAGTGACTAGTACAGTTTGTTCACTCGGTAAAGATTTATACAATCACTTCATCCGGTAATTGGTATTCTGGGGAGAGAGGGAGCTGCAGCTCCAGCATCCGCCTCTATTTGTTTTCTCTCTGTCTTTCTCTCTTTCTCTCCCCTTTTCAGAATGAGTAATTCTGTCCCTCACAATCCCATTTAAACAGAGCATTTGCGGAGTGAATAATTAGTTACATTCAATTAGGCCTCACACACTCTCCCTTCTCACTTTGGGGGACAGACGTGCTAATGAGATGGCACATGTCTGACACGCGGGAGCCGGCATTAAACATGCTGCGTGTGGACAGAGAGAGGTCAGCACTGGGGGAGGCAAGGAGCCAGAGGGACCATCCAGCTGCCATGGGGCAACAGCCCTTCGGGGGCTGTTTGTGGCCCACATGATGCCAGCTAGCTCCTCCGGGAGGACTGGCAAGGCCAGCGGGAATCGGGGTCACATCTGTCCCCAGGGCAGGGTGTTCACTGGGCTGGTGTCGAGGGGGCACTGCCCAACCCTGGGACCACACCGCCGGCAACGTGGGAGCGCTGAGCCCTGAGAGGGAGAGCTGCTGACATGCTTTTATCTCACTTATTAAACCTAACATTAGGTTTTAAGAGGAGCCTTAAATAATGTGCCACTGCCTTTACAGTAAAAGTCGCTCCGTATTCCAGCTGCTCCTGGCTCTGGGATTTACAGCCTTTCTTACGCCATGCTGCATGCGCTTGTGTAGCGGTGGGTCACGGGCTGCAGCTGGTCTCTGTACCTGGAGCCTGGGCTGGGCGGCTCGGTACCACTGCAGCCCAGCCCTATGCCAGCGAGTCAGGGCCCACGACAGCCCCCCGCAATCTCCCCACAGCACTGCCCTGCAGTGAGACGGGCCCCACATGGCGCACGTGGTGTTGGGCTGTCAAGGCGAGATGTGCTGAACCTGCCTGCTGCAGGCAGCCCTGCCCGTCCCCTGCCATGCAGGGCTGAGGTCAGGGCACGCACGGTGGGGCTGTGTTGGACTGGAGCCCATATGCTCTCTCCTCGCACGCAGGGGTCAGCGGGTGGGAGCTGTCACACTGCCTGGCAGCATCGGGGGACACTAATTACAGATGAGGGGGCCGCACACCCAGGCTCAGGGTGCACTGGAAGCTGATGACCAGTG